TGCAGCTGACAGTGAAAGCAGCTACGAGACACTGTAGAGTCGGAAGCCGAAGCTTGCTTTTGATTCTCGATAGAATCGTCAGAATATTTTGCGCTACAAACCTGAATGCATCACGACAACCAGTTCTCCTTTCTACAGCGCATAGCTTGCGTCCGAACCCTGGAGGGAGTTATGTTCGTACTACGCTGAAAATAGCGGGTATTGTTTGCGTGGAAAACGGTCGAGAGGTCTAGGGGTCGAAACAAGGGATTATTTCGTAACAATGGCATGATTAATGAATATCAGGTGCATTTGCAGCCTGTTTTCACTGGTGATGACGAACTCGACCTCCTTTCCATGCTGACGTAAGCATGAATGATGTGACTTCTCAAGTGACAGCCCTATGGCAGACTCATTATTGAGGTCAATATTAATCCCTACTTCCTCAGTACGACTCATTCTGCACTCCCTCTTGAAAACAATGTACTTTCTAGTTAGCAGTTATCGGTATTCTCTCGTATTCTGTTATCAACAAGATCTCTAGGTCCACGGTGAAAGTGTAATCCCTTTCATCATGCCTTCCTACTTTTACGCTTCTAATCCGATGGAACTGATTATATATGGGCTATACCAGTTTAAAAGCATAAGGCACGATGATTTGGTACTAGGTCTAAAAAGGGAGCACTGGTGCCATACAGTGGGAAATGGCGAACAAGCGAAGTGAAGCTGTGAAAAACGTGTAAAAGATTTTGGGCGAGTTCCGCGCATCGCCAATAACTGCTACGGTAGATACGATCCATGCAGCATCACAGCCGCTTCATATCCATCTCTTTGCTTCGTATTATACTTCGGCCATTTGTGGGCGGGCACGCGCGGTGGGCGGCCAGGTCTGTATGTTGCAGCTTTATATGGCGCTATCGGTTACCTTCCTTAAAACAGGCTTCCTGCTCACGGTCGCCAAAGTCTGTCCAGCTAGGTAATCCTACACGTCTTGGGGATTTATCGTGCTACTTGCCCTTAACTGGCACACTGTAGTGCGTACACCACAAGGTGACCCTTATAAGCTAAAAGTAAGGCCCCTTTCGTATTGAGACTTACTTCTCGGACTTCCTGCGATCATTTAAAAAAATTTTCATGACCCTCATGCTTCTGAATAAATACCCACTAGTCGTTGTAGCTAGACTAGTTGAACGATCAAGTAAGTTCTGATGATGAGTATCGAGATTAGATTGAGATATGTTCACGTGCTAATACTTCGAGCTCATTCGGTTACTTAGTTCTCCCATACTCGGTTGTTATCAACGCTTATCAACCCTAATTTGATATCAGCAGACATTTAGCTTTCTTTGAGAAGTGAAATGTAATCGTTCGCTGAGCCCCTGACTTTTACTGCTACCGTTGCAGATTATATGTAAAAAACGAGATGTGATAGAGACTGGCTCTCCCTTATCAAATGCTATCACTCGCTTGAAGGAACGGTCCGCGATGACCCATGAGATGTAAATTATTTTGTGGGAAGGATAGAGTGGTTCGCGATGAACAACCTTGTGCCAGTTTCGCGGCGGAAAGTTGTAAGCTAACGAAGTTAAGGCGTGAAGTTGCTGCAGTGGTACCTCCCTTTTTCCAGTGACTCCGCCTCCAGAGTCCGGCCTTTCAGCTAAAAGCGGTGCTGCTGGCATGTAGTATGAGATGGATGCTCCGTTGTCTCTTGCGGAAATGGATGCTCCGTTGTCTGTTGCGGAGCCATAAGGTTCATTGCAAGGAATCAACCCACTGAGCTTGTCCCAGGGCGCGGTATTTTGCCCTCTTAGTGGTGCAATTGTTTGAGGCTTTATCGGTTCTATCAAAGGCATTTTCGACGTTCCCCGTTGACATTTTCTCTCCAAACACGAGTCACTTGACAACTTCTCATCCATATTTCAACACCATTATTACATACCTATGCTCCTTATCGCGGACCGTGCCTTTAACCGTAATCAGTTTTCTACTATATCCATACTGTGTTATTGCCACAAATTTGATGACACCTTCTTTACAACGCCCTTCATCAGCTCCTATCAAGCATTATCACCCTCAAACACCGTCTGCCATCATCTCATCAGCTCTCGCTTTTTGAGTCCATATCTATTGCCACTGTGACACACGCTATGAACCTATTCACACTCTTCCTAACTCTTACCGGCTCCTTTCACTTCCTAATGCTTTTTACATCTGAAACCATGTGTTGCAGAATTACGGGGTTTCTGTGAAGCTATAGCAGATATAATAGGGCAACAGTTTCCGGTGATTGTCCAAGTGATACAGTAATTAAGTACCATGCCTAGGTGTGAACCCTTAAGCCCCATACCAGACTAAAGGTTCTGTTCTGCAGTATTTTACAATAGCAAGCCCATGGACAAGTAGCGAAGGAGCCGACACATGCAGCTAAAAGACAGAAACTTTGGACAGTCTCAAATTCCCCAGGTTTTCGTTGTTGTTCCAAACATAGTTGTAATGGATTCTGAAATACTAGAAGGTGGACTGGCCTCCTAGTTGCGGTTCTTGGGAATGTGGAGGCTGCTCTGCCTTCGTCTAGGGCATACATGACGAATATGAATACTTGACCCTGTGGCTATCGCTGTGAATCAAACGGCCAGAGAAGTTGTTAGAACGTATTTCCGAGAACCCCCTATCAATCAGCGGCACACCAATGTTCACATGGAATGGTCTTTGATATCAGACATTTGTCGCAAACAATGAAATTAGTTGAAAAACAGAATCATTTACAGGTGGTGGCTCCGCAACTGCAAAAATCCCAATCGGCCCGGGGCCTGTTCATCGAGGACATATGCGCCACCGAAGGTTATGCCGGCGATAGGTATGTGTTCGGATTTTCTCGTAGTTTTCGAAAGATGAGAAGAAGGTGAAACATTTTCAGGTTATGGCTAATATTAGCGAACCAAGTTGAAGATCCCGTATGTTTGTCGTTTACACTCGAAGAAGAGGGTGTCCCGGCGGAGGAGGTTGTACAAAGAGAAAAGGTAAGCTGGTAGCGATATGAATGATGACCAGTGGATCGTGTTTTCGCAGTCTTGTAGAGGTAAGTTGCAGTAAGGCGTTAGCCTGACGTCAGCTCCTTTACATTTGGTCAGCGCTCGTCCTTGTTTTATTCCCTCTTCCCCACCATCAGCACCCAAATGGACATTTATTTCTTGCGAGCAAAGGCCAATGCTTTGCAATGTATGGTTTGCCGATGAAGCGGTCTGAATGGCAAAAGCAAATGATATGAAGTGTATGGAGATTTTCCTGCTGTTATTCATTCCAATAAACCCATGGATAATCCAGTAAGCAAAGTTTATGACCACAAGAACATTTTAAGTACCCTTAACTCATGGATAATCAGTTAAGAGAGGTTTATGGCCCCGAAACATTTTAATACCCTTAGGCAGAACTACTGTACGAAGGCGAAGCAATTTTTTTGCCGCTGGATATAACTCAGTGCGCTTGCAGGGAACGTACCTGAGAGTTCTAGGCAACCGTATAACAACATAACTTGGAGGGGTGATTGACGACCAGGTGAACCAGGAGGAGCAGGTGTTGGGGAACGACCCAAGATTACGTGGCTCTGCGGATTTGGCTGGAATCCTCAGGATACTGCAATGTTATTCATAGTGATAGGGGAGGCGCTATGCATAAATGAGAAGCCGCATCCAAATGGAAAGGAAAGTCAAGTCGATTTTGCTCACCTACAGCAAGGTAGATATTTTACTATATGGAGGTCCAACATCGGCCCCGTCTCCATTTAATGAGTAGTATTTCCCACAGGCGGGTCGTTTTGGTTATTTTGTTATGTTGTCAGCTAGCCCTTCTATCATCGAGTGCTCCCACACAGATCATGTGGGTGTCGTACGTGTAGTTAATACATCATGGTATCAGCTGCGCGCTACCCGCACCGGCTGACCTGGCTTCAGGCCCGTTGTAGTTTTAGAAGGGCTCTATAAGAATCTGAGTCCAATCATTCCTGATTGAGTGTTTCAGTTATTCACCTTTACCGTGCCAACTCTTCCATTTACTCAAGACCGAAGTGTTCAACTCACCCTGAGAAGTCAGACGTTACACATAAGTATTCCCTTCACCTATAGAACAAGGTGAGTCATTTTCTATTTACTATCGGCTATATCAATTGTATTAAAAATACGCTTTCTATTCGCTGATGGGGATCATGGTCTTTGCCATGTCTGAGGTGAACGTATTTGCAGCTGTAGAGATGAACCTCTTTAGTTACTGGGAAGTGCGCAGAAATTAATTGGAGGGGAGGAGGGGGGGGGTAGTGGAACCGAATGCACTTGGAATCTAACACTCCAGGCAAAGAGGAGACACGCAACACGCTGCACTGTCACCGGGTTGGCTAGCTAAACCTATATTGCTACTGTCTGCTGCCTCTCCTTTGTTTGGGGAGCTGCTGCAGTTAACTTGGCCGTGATAGAAAGACACAGGACGAGTTGGCCGTTCACAAGGCTTGGCGTTCGACTTGCGGCAGCGTCCCACCATGCGTTGCGCAGCTAACCATTAGGACATTACCACTAGATCGTCGTCAGCGTCAGCAGCGACTAAAGATTACAATATCGATATAAGCGAACGGCACACTGCACTACTGTGCATCAGCGTCTGCCAAGGGACTAGGAGTAATGGACATCGTCCAGCGTCCACCAGCAGACGTAAGTAGCGGTGTTGTAGTAGTATAGTTGCGGTGCCACGGGTTAATTTCGGCGATGGCCTACTCCAGTTCTTTCCATTCCGCTACCCATACTCTGCGAGGAGTCTATCCTCCTAGTTTTCACTCCATTACTCCTGCCACCTGGTCACTGGTGGACGCTGGTTGAAAGCTAGACTGACAGTAGACTTACAGGACGTACATTATTTCCCCCGTTCCTCGTATAACCTGTCGGACCTTTAAAATGCTGATCGTCGCTGGTGGACGCTGCCTCAAAGTATGAATGCAGCCCAGTGTTCGCTGTGCGACCTCGGCATTAGCGTACCAGCTGAGATCCAAACGACATGCCGCACTTTCGAATAACGAAAGCGCCATTCTTCTACAGCTGCGGGCCCGTTCACCCCCCTCCCCCAAAAGCGAGTCTCCACCTTATATTTAATCTTCTGGTTGAACTTTCAGGACGGACAACAGCGCTGCTTTTCAATTCGAGAGCCTCGCTGAATTTGCTGCCACTGGGGAAATTTCCTCACTTATCCTCCCTTTCGCAAGCCATATCGGTGACCGAGATGGCGAAGGAAACACGTCAGTCCTAGTTTTTTGGAATGTCTCCCAGATAGAGCTCTGAGTGAGCTGCAGCTTCGTTTCAGGGTGTTGCATATATCAGCGAAAAATTCTCAAAGCTTTGCTCTCAAGCTGCTCCTTTCGGCACTTCCATCCGATCAGAAAGAAGGTGAGGGTTTGGTTGAAACCATTTCAACTTTTTCATCCACTCACATATTCTTTTTGAAGCAGTGCTAGACATCCGGAATATTCGCGGCCAGACTGCTCTTCATTGTGCTGTTCGAGCTGGTGACCCCGACAGTGTTCACTATTTATTGAGCCATGGCAGCGGTACAAGAATACTAGACAATCACAAGAACTCCGTATGTTCTCCAGTTTTCCTTGGATACCCTTCAAGGTAGTGATCGCGACGGCTGGGGCGGGCGGTGGTCACTGCTAACTTCATTGGTGGAAAGGCGAAGTGGGTGTGGCCAAGCGCCCTCTCGCAGCCCTTCCGCCAATGACGTTGGCAGCGAGCGCCCGCCTCTAGCCGCTGTGTCCACTACCTTTAAGTCAATGTGCTCAGTAACCTGCGACTTTTAGGTAATTCATTACCTAGCTGATGCCTACAATGAAGCGATATTCAAAGAAATCCTCGAAACACCAGGAGCCTGTGATAATGAACTTGACGCTCTTAACGAAGAAGGGTTCTCGGCCCTACATCTTGCCGTTAGAAGGTGCCGTAGATATAATATTTGTAGCTTTTCATTCGAGTGTCAGAATCGCTGTTGTTGCAGGTTGAAGCTTAGCCTGATTGAAATGCTTTTGGAAGCCGGTGCTTCGATTAACTCCAAGGACCATGCTGGACGAACTGCACTCTTTCACGCCGTGAACATGAATGACGTCGAGATCGTCCAGTTTCTTCTCGGGGTGAGCTTCATAGTTCTTGAGACATTAATGAATGACCCACGCTTCCACAGGGGTGACCAGTGCACTACTCCTTCCCGGGAATTTCTTTGATTTCATGCTTCAGAAAGGAGCTGATCCGAACGTCGAAGACGAATCCGGAGAGACTCCTCTCCTGCTGTGTGCGAAAACGGCGAACTATGCGATTATGGGTCTACTAATCGATGCTGGAGGTGATCCGAAGAAGCAGAATTGTGATGGATGCTCATTATCGGATAGCAATGATGCAACGGTTCAACGAATCATCGCAGAGAGAGTAAGAACGACCAGCAGTGGCGTCGGGCTAGAGCGAAGGTTCGATTAGTGAAAAAGCGTACTGATGGTGATGGCATTTGCCGCAGGTGTAAAGGACCAGAAATTGACAGGATTCGTGGTGCAAGTGAAGAGCAAAGCAATAACAGGTCTGACGTATTCCATTGGACAGACTTCCTCTACAAAGAGCACTATTTTTAGCTCTAGACATTCTTTATCACTTCACTAAATGTGTCTAAAGGGTATATCAAGGGTAGTTGATGGTCGCTTCAGCTTTATGGCCGCATCAGAACTTATATCTTCTTGGGAAAGTATGAGAGCAGGTGAGTTATCCCAATGTAACAGTGACCTGGTTAACACAGGCGAATGGTAATCCAGGCACGTCGTGCAGTTGCTCGCCTTGGATTCATCTCATCATTAGATCATCAAAATACCGGAAGCGATTCATGCGGAAATGATATCTTACAACTGTCTTTTCAACTCGATTTTCTTTCTACACCTTTTCCATGTGGACCTTCTCTTTGGTATTGGTCTTCATCAAACGTGCCACTCATGATCCAATTTCAGAATGATGTTTTTATTAGGGACACCACCTTCCGAATTGAAGAAATCCTGCCTCTCACCCCCCCTGCCCCGCACCCGAACGCAGCATGTTGCGAACACCAATTCCGGCGACTTCGCTCCCACGCAAAACACATCGTACACCCTGCATAACGTCAGTTTTGACACTCTGCTACTTGACCTGCTGCAGGAAGTAAAAGTCAAAAGTCATCGAAAACCACTGAAGATAAGGTTGGGTGGATCGTTATTATTGGACGAGAGGGCGGTGAACAGAGACGCAAGTGAACAGGCGAGCGTTTGGGTGATCACGTGCAGGAAGCACCCAAACTCACGCTGGACAAGCAAACCTAAGTTGGAATTATCGTCAGCGGCTGCGTTCATAACTTTGCGGTAATGCATACGCCAGCGTACGCGTAGGCGTTTCCGCGTTCATGAAAGCCCTAAAAAAGTATATTGTACCTGCGAAAGACGACAAGAGAATAGTTCGTTCAATTCCAGTGCGACAATATAATAAATCTGGACACTAATGTAATAAACATTTCTTTCCAACAACCAAGTTACAGAATTATGCAATCTAACCAATTTAATGTACAGTACTGTCTAGCAGTGCGATGCGGTTGCATACGCCGCCACGACGCCCAGTCGAGCCGTTCGCCTACTCTCCTACTCTCCCATCGACTCCTCTACTCTCCCATACTCTCTAGTCCTCGCCGCTGGCAAATGCTAGTGAAAAGTTGGCAAACACATGTGAAAAGCTAGCAAACGCTAGATCGATATCTATACTTTCCTTACCCTCGCTACGCTAGCGTGGGCTAGCGTTACGCTAGCGCACGCTAGATCGATATCTATCCTTTCCTTGTAACTGCCGCCGCGAACGCTGGAAACGCTGGCGTACCCTGCCGCAAAGTATGAACGCAGCTTTACGGGTGGAATTTGAAAGGGTGGGGACTGAACCAGGTGCGTCGCACTCTTAGCCGTTCTTGCCGGGGTTTTTTTTAGTAAAGTAATGCACTACGCACGGGTGAAGAACGCTTAGTGGTACAGGCGGGAGGGGTCTCAGCTATCAGGTTTTCTCCTGGTGGGCAATAGAGTAGAGGAGGAGAGAAACCAACAGCCATGTACTTTTTCGCGTATTCCTTAGACGAGAGAAAGGGATCCACCCACAAATCATGTCAAGTTCTTTCTTTTGTATGCTGTGGCAGGTGCTGAAATGAAGGTACCTACGTCATCTGCTTAGATGCTAATCATTACCTCAAAGTCCGTTTTTCCTCCTTTCAATTGTTGAAAAAAACATTTGGACGTGGAGTTATCAATCCTTTCAGGGTTGCGTTGCCAGAGAAAGAGGTACCTCCACCAGTGCCATCTGACCTCACTACAACTCGCTCGGCGCTTTTCGGCAGGTCGTTACCAAACCTTCACGGTGGAAGTATGACTGCACCTCCCGAATGTGGTGACCCCACTTCGCATCGTTCATATCCGTTCCAAGCAGAGCACAGCCGCCAGGCGAACAGCCAAGATCACAGCCATCATATGGTCAGTGTACTTTTTAAAACGACGAATTCTCGAAACAGTTGTCGAAGTTACTTCAGTGGTGACAGTGCTCATATATCTCCAGATCGAGGAGAAGCAGCATCAGGCGATCTGTCGACGATTCCGATGGCGAATACACGGATGACCAACCGTCAACGAGTTCTGGAAGTAGATCTCGAAGAAGCGCTCGGCATAGTAAAATGTCTCAAGGTGAGTCGGATCCACGCAAAGAAAAAAGATAGCTCAAACTGTTAGCTGATTTCAGACTAGACATTCATGCCTGATTATTTGACACGGTTGGAGGACTATCAATGCTATGGATCGAAATTCGGAAAGTGCAGCACACCTCGCTATCGGTAATTTCATTTTGTTCATTTTTTCTTACCTGAATGTCGGACCTAATGGTTTTAGTGCATCGTTGATGTTCTTCTCTCATCAACAGAAAACATTTCGTTTGTAAAGTGCATTTGCATTTGTAAATAGAGTGACTGCAGACACATCAGACCTGCAGACCAGACAAACCTGACAAATGACTTATCCAGACAGCAAGAAAAAAAGTATCTATTTCTGTATCCCTTGAAATAGTGTTGGGCATCAGCGGAGCGCAGTGACGCTAAAAACAATTACATATGATGGATAAGCAGAGTGTGTGAAGCATCGACATAGGCGGGCTCATAGCGAAAACTCTGAAATCTTGAGATGCAGTATGCGTGACTGCGTATAGGGAAAGCGATTTTCTGTTTGACACTGAGGAGAGCGCAGGCTTGAGAAACTCACAATTTTCTTATCATAGGCTCCTGAAACCCTTGAAACAGGGAGGGGACGTGGGCTGTAAGTTTAACCAGCACTGGCCGAATATAGTCCTCGCAGCAGATCATTGGCTCCTTGTGTGAAACAATCGAAACTGTGCCGATCACGGTTTTCGTTCTAATCGCAAATTCTTGTGATTGTGACTCCTAGTATACCGCGAATTCCTGAGCTGCGGTAGCCTTGGCTACATCGTCCATTTCAACGTAGCGGCGGCTGTGCTGTTATTGAGATATTTTCATTTTGAGACAATTTCATCCAACAAAGCAGAGATGACAATGATCCCATGTGAAATGTCACCATCGAATAATCCACCTGTTAGATCTGAAGGACACAGCCACGCCTACAAGTGTCTCAGGATATGACTTGCTCGGCACACATACCCGCCATTGAGGAGATCCAAATTTATTCCCTCAAAGTCCGCTGATTTGAAGCAGATTCGTTGACTCGTTTAGGATGAGGCACTGACACATAACGGTGTTCATTCTACGAAAATTATTATGGATTAATATGTTGGCATCTAAAATGCATTACCACCTCTATCAATGAAACCTATGCATGGCTGCATCCCTGCCTGAGTTTCTGAACAGGCAGTCGGCGCATCTGTATTTTTGAAGTTTATTTGTGTTTTCAAGTGCGCTCAGGTCGTAAGGTCAGTGACCCTTCTATCTGATTACAGTCTGCATCTAAAGAAGACTTCTTTGAATACCAAAAATCTTTTCAAATCTCCCGGTTTCCGCCGGTATATTGATGACATATTCGATTGGAAGGACTGTTGTGCCTTGCAGTTGACGTGAAAAGGTGACTTTGCTGACTTCTTCTGTCCAGTCACTACACAATTGGTGGCTACATATGCTCTTGAATAAATAAACTTAGCTACCCAGCTTGAACGTACAGTCCACGCTATCCATCGTACGGCCCCAGCCGACGCATGTCTCCTGCTATTACTTTTCAGCTGTCAATCGCTCTCTCTAAGGAACCCGGCTCACCAGTCTTGGCTTGAAAATCCGAGTATTCACTTCTTGGCCGTACCTATTGCTAGCGACATCATTAATCCACCCGTTCACCCACGCCATTTTGTAGCTAGAAAAATTTCTGCAAGAACAATCCCTTGATACCTAGTTACGCCTCCTGATCAAGGTGAAGTCAGTGGAAATTGTATCCTTCCAGGGTATTCAGAGGCCGGCTGTCGCTTATGATGGAGAGTACACTTTTTCAGTGACACCTTTTTCAGTGACTTTTTTTTATCTCCACCCATTCGTCACCCCTTCTTCTCATTTTTTCCACGAGAACTTTATGTGGAATTTTCATAATTCCCCATCCGCATAAAATCAGGTCGATTTTCAGGAGGCTCGGCTGTTTCTCACTATGAATTGAATTGATATTCGATCTGTTCCGTATGACACCCAGTCCACGCATGATCTGCTCGATCGTTCCGAGGTGGGACACCATGCTCTATTCTCATTCCTCTCATCTAAACACTTGCCATTCCAAATTCAGGGTCAAATCCGCAGAAGCTATAGAATCTCTCGCGTCCGCTCGGCCCTGCATACGCTTCGAGAAGAGGAGTCAGTGAAGCTGATTGATGACAGATTCATCTATTGAAATGAGTGTTGTCATTGTATTTTGCTCACAACTGTAAAGCTTTCGAGCTCGTGCAAGTACCGCTTGTTACAGAAAATTCTCAGGGACATTTCCTTCCTGAGAAACGGCACATACAATAAAAATTATGTGCAGTGTAGTGGAACTTCCATAGAAAATTGTGCAGCAGGTGAATTACGCATATTCTCACAGATTGTGACAAAATATTAGGCAACCAATTCAAACGCATGCTAATCGATCTGGAATGGCCAGTTGTGTATCTCAACTACCAATGACAAGATAGTAGATAACTCATAAAAAATGAAGAAGAACACCTAATGCTGGGACCGAACTTGTGCGTAACCATAAGGCCGAAGACAGGGCACTGCCGGAACAGTTTGGCACCTCTGTTTGAACAATAGGGCTCACACATACTTTTGCGCAGCGTCCACCAGCGTTCCGAGCGTCCGGCAGCGCCAGCGACTAGGAAAGTGTAGATATCGATCTAGCGTCTGCCAGCGTCCTCCAGCGTCTACCAGCAGTCTACGCGGCGTGCGCGGGCCCTACAAGCTCTGGAGACCTACAATATGGTACGATAGGAGGGTAGCAGACGTCTGGTACTCTCTACCAACAGTCTGCCACCCTCCTGACTGCCTATATTCCACCAGCTGTCTGCTAACCCGCCCCCCCCTATTCTCCACATGTGACCTATTCGTGCAAACTCTCCTCTTCCAGACGCTGATGGACGCTAGCGCGAAGCATGAGCGTAGCCCAAGGAGACCATTCCTTTCCTCCTTATCTGTGCGTTCTCACCAATCGCTATGGAGAAAGCTGGTAGCGGAATAATCGCGCCATCAGGAAACTTTCATAAATGAAAGTCGGATGATGATGCATTGACTAGAAGGCGGAAGCAGTGGCAGGGGTCGTAACAACGTATGCTTGAGGCCGCGATTAGTGTAAAGTGCTCTTGTGCTTGCGACAGCGAATTTTCTGGTGAGCAGGCCTTTTCATGTGGGACATGACGCAAGTTCGGTCAGGCCCCACTTCATGATCAGCCGTTTTTCTCAAGTAAGACTTGAAAGAAAGGCCTCTGACTCCCTGAGATGCGGCAGGCGTGTTTGCGCATTTGAGAACGTGGCGGCAGCCAAGGTTTTCGTGAGATATTTTTTTGCAGCAGTCGTACACATGTTCTTGTCCAACACAGTACAAGATGGCAGCTGCCTCAGTTGAAACATCCCACGAGTAACCCATCCTATGCCATGTTCGTATGCCACGCCTACCCATCTCAGGGATAAGGAGTGTAAGGGGAGTAGAATTCAATGGGCCTGACGCATTTTGATGGTACACAAGGCTCATTTTCGTGAGATAAAACACTGACCTACAGGGCCTAGCCTATTTACGAATCAGTGCTTCTATCCTCCTTGACGAGCCGCTTTCAATCAGCCAGTGCGAAACGGACTTACCATTAGTGCCTGACTGTTCCACCCTAGATTCTATCTCCGGAATGTGGGCACGCTTACCGCTGTCACCTCCCACCACATTCTGAAGTTTGGGAACGACTTGACAGTTCTTGTTGAAGGTTTGACAATTTATGAATCCTGGAATGTTCAGTTACTTCTGCCAAACGAACGGTTGTGAGAACCTTTATTGGCCTAACGTTTCGACCTTCTCGTCTTCTTCAGAGGCCTGAAAATGGCTCGAAGCTTTCAATTTGTTACCTACCCGACCAAACGCCCTCCCACTCTAGCGTTTCCGACCTCGTTTCCCAAACGCTTCTGAACAACCCGGCAGAGTGCTAACAACTCACCAAAGGTCTCACAGTGCGGAGCTTATTGTTAGCTCACGCTGTGTGTCAGTAGAACAAGTAAGGGACGGATGGTTTGACAATTTTGACTTATGCGACACAATGAGACTCCTCACTAGTTCTACTGACACACAGCACGAGCTAAGCTCCGCACGGTGAGACCTTTGGTGAGTTGTTAGGACTCATTACCGGGTTTGTTGGGAAGCGTTGGGAAACAAGGTCGGAAACGCTAGAGTGGGGAGGGCGTTTGGTCGGGTAGGTAACAAATTAAAAGCTTCGAGCCATTTTCAGGCCTCTGAAGAAGACGAGAAGGTCGAAACGTTAGGCCAATAAAAGGTTTCATCTAACAACTCGTTTAGCAGAAGTAACTGAACATTCGACATCATGCCGAGGTTACAACAACGGGCAACGTGGAGACAACCCTGGGAATCTCCTTGCTCGAGGACAGTTGCGACTGCATCGCCGTTTTCATTACGACAGTCGTTAACTTGGCCTAACTATGGCAATACCACTCTTTTCCGAAGAAAGGTCATCGTTGCTCTCGAACAGGGTCACTCAACATGCGCGAAAAACTGCCCGGTCAAAAATCCCTTGAACAACCCCATGACAACTACTCCACTACTCCACATACTGCACTAGGTAGCACTAACTTGTAAGCATTAGGTAGCACTAGCACTAGCACTAGGTAGCACCGACTTGTAAGACAGCTACCGCGACAGCTTATAAAGGAGTTATTTTAGCATGGACACTTAAATCTGACAGGTAGTTTTACAGCCATCCGTGAGGATGGGGAAGGAGGGCTCGGCTTGGCCAAGGTCGTGAGACGATGGGATTTGGTTCCACTGCGATGCCGTTCGCGCGGTGGCAGGCAGGCCACTTGTACACCAGTTCCACCTTCGATCTACGACTTATCATCCCGGAATGCTCCTTCTCTGGTTGGAATAATAAATCAAGGACGTTCACGTACAGCTAAGCCAAAAAAAACGAAAAACGTTTTCGTCGAGTAGAGAAGTGAATAATCGGGTGTTTTATATGGATTTTTGTGAAAGCAAACGGTGAGAGTAGTTCACAATATGTTTGGTTGGCTCGCCGTAGCCAGG